GGGGAATCTTTCAGCAGCTTCTCACAGAAACCAGCCCTGTAGCCCTCTGCTACCAAAACCTTGCCATGCAAACCCGAATCAGATTGTTGTTCTCAGTACCAGTAAGCCTGTTACATTGGTTTAAACTCATTGAACTGTTGTAGCATATGACCTCCCCCTAATTCTTTGAACTTTTGTGGTGTTGGAGGAAGTTGGAGATACTATGGATATGGAAGGAGTTACACCTGTTTGTAATCCAAATGTAAGCTGTGTGCAAAACCTTGCCATGCAAACCCGAATCAGATTGTTGTTCTCAGTACCAGTAAGCCTGTTACATTGGTTTAAACTCATTGAACTGTTGTAGCATATGACCTCCCCCTAATTCTTTGAACTTTTGTGGTGTTGGAGGAAGTTGGAGATACTATGGATATGGAAGGAGTTACACCTGTTTGTAATCCAAATGTAAGCTGTGTGGTCTGCCTTTTACATTAAGAAGTAATTCTGTTGTGCAGTGGCAGAGGAAGAATTCATCTGCTCTGACTTTGTGTTTCAGACGACAGTGCAGTGTTCAGTCATTCTGCCAAAGCAGTAAAAACCTGGATGGACCTCGAAGTTCGGGTGCTCACAAGGAAGAGTGGATCACTTTCGAACTTCCAGAGGTTATATCGTCTTCAAAAATGGTTACAAGCGTAAAAGAGTGGAGTAAACACTGACCGATAGTAACATTCAAGGCAGCTTTTATAATCTTTATCATCGTGCTTGGTAATGCATAACATGGCTAAAGTTAGATTTTTGAGTGTGTTTTAAATTTGGAACAGGTTTACTGTCGAGCTGAATCAGGCAGTGGCTGAAGACGAAAGTCGGTAGCGAGTTGTCGTCCTCTATTCAGTGGTACCTCTTGGTCGCTGGAAGGAAGGAAAAGCTTGGGGATGCTCTGTTGCTCTGTCATAAAATAAGGTCTAAGAAAGCAGATTCACAGAGATGCTGTTTGCTTTGCTATTTCTGCCTCCCATCGTGGCCTTCAGCGAGGCAAATGGTTACAGTTCACTTCAGAAACATACCAGGAAAGTTGAACAGTTTCAAAATTATACTATTTTTATACATTATCCATATTTTTTATTACAGTCGTTTTTTATTTGTGTGCTAAAAGACATGGTTTAATAATTGTGGTGGTTCTTTCAACAGCAGCTGTGTAATGAATGAATGTTCTCATTAAAACAAAGAGGTGAGCCTAGGGCAGAATTGTGCCTGAAGATACCCTTCTGTGATTTGCAGGACTGCACAGAAAAGTACTTCACTGCCAGTGTCCCAAACACTCTGCTGGCCTTTT